GGGGCTGCTGCCGGCGCGCTGCTGAGTCAGGGCGGGAGCGGGAGCGGCCCCGGCCCCGGCCCCGGCCCGGGCTATTTATACTCCCACATGTGACCGCGGGAGCGGCCCACCGCCAGCTCACTTTTTCCACTCGCCCGGTGAAAACCGTACGCCTTGCTTTTCCCTGGAAGTCTGCGGAGGAAGTGTGGGATGCTGGCTTTGATACGAGCCCCGTTTCCACGGGCTCTTCCCCAGCCTCTGCCCACCCCTGCTCCAGGTTTCTGTGATTCCTGCGCTGACTGCAGGCCGGGAATCTCTCAATATTTCTGCTCCCAGCTTACCTGGAGCAGGGCCAACCTTCTTAATATAGACCGAGGCACGATCGTCTGGTAAAAATCTTCTGCCTATGCAGATCTGTTTTCAATTTTCTTTCCCAAACAGAAGGATGTACTATGTGACAGCAAGCTTTCTAAGTGACAAATAAGCTTCAGGGACAGGTTTTTGAAGTTTTGGCATGTATAGAAAATAGGCTGAAACTTTTACTGTATAGGCTGAAGCTTCTACCCCATTTATAAACACGAACAGAATTACAGTCAGCAATAAGTAAAATCATATGCTCAAGCAATCCTAGTGCACTATGCAAAAATAGGGCTGGCCTGGGCATATGCTGAGTGCATGGATACAAAGCAGAGAATGCACAAATAATAGCAGAATCATAAAATCGTTTAGGTTGGAAAAGACTTTTAAGACCATTGAGTCCAACTGCAAACGTAGCACTGCCAAGTGCACCATCAAACCATGTCCCTAAGTGCCACATCTACATGTCTTTTAAATACCTGCAGGGACAGTGACTCCACCACTTCCCTAAGCAGCCTGTTCCAAGGCTTGACAACCCTTTCAGTGAAGAAGTTTTTCCTAATGTCCAATCTAAACCTCCCCTGGTGCAATCTGAGGCCATTTCATCTTGTCCTATTGCTTGTTACCTCGGAGAAGAGACCGACCCTGACCTCACTACAACCTTCTTTCAGGTAGTTGTAAAGAGCGATAAAAGGTCTGGAAAATGGCAGAACACATACAAGTGAAGACAAACCAAGGCTTGATTTGAAATTTTTTTTTTTATGCCCTTTATCTTTTTTTTTTTTTTTTAAATAAATATATGTCTATACACTTTCTATGAAAACTGCATCAAACATACGTGTACTTCAGTTGTTTTGCCCTCACATTGTTGACTGAAAATGTGTAACTGATTTTAAGATGTGAATAACAAAACCATAAATATCATGATACCTAAACCACTATAATAATAAATACAGGGTACAGCTAAGTGTATTGGCTCCTAATACAAGTTTCACAACATTCTGGGCACTCTTGAAAAACAAGGTAAATTATGTTCTAAAAATACCTCAAGCACTGATATCTTCTACCAATACATCATAGGAGTCTGATGTCTTTCTGAAAAGCATATGGACTCACGCCATTTCAAAGGAAAACCACATCATTTCATCTTGGGAGGAAGGAAACTTACCTCCACTCCGCCTTGTTATGCAGGAATGAGTTACACTGGTCTGGAAGGTTGCTGTCATTTGACATAGATTCCAGGATTGAAATGATCTGCTTGAAAGACGGCCTTTTCTGAAGATTAAAAAAAAAAAACAAAACAAAATGCAGCATTTGCATTCATATACGACTACTACTGTGTAAAATTATTTGCAGGAATTTTTCAATTGAAAGACTGCAAGCAACAGAAATCAGGATACTGCTTTCCAAACACTGCATCCTACAAGAGGACTGTAAATTTGTAAATGGGTTTTCTTTGTTCTTCCCATTGAAGAAAAGGTCAGTTTGGGATGAATCACATAAGCTCATAGAACTCAAGTCTTAGGTTAGTCTCCCACACCTACCAGTAAGACCTTTTGGTATTCAGTAACAGCATTAAACCTGAGTAGCATCAACAAACATCAACATTCTTAATTCTAAAGACTAAAGATTTCCTCAAGCTAAGAAGGAAAATACTGCTAAAGAGAGAAGGCTGGACCCATTAGTAACCGGGTCATTAGACAGATGGCCTTTTACAGGCAGTAACCCAAAATATTTAATGTTTGAACAAGCTATTTAGCTGCCCATCAAAAGTGGGTTTCTGGCTGCAGTTCTCCTCTTGCAAAGAAGGACAGACTTTCCAGAGAAACCTCCCACTTAGCTGCCTCAGGAGCAGCCAGGGAAGAAGTGAAGACTGAGGCTGGATGAGGATGTCTCTCCTGGCAGCTGAGCTCATGTCAGTGGTGTCTGTGCTCTTCTGTCCTGGGCTCATTTACTGAACTTTCTGTTGCAGGGCTCTCCATCCAGCACCCATTGTGCTCAACAGCCACAGAGAGCAGTTAAAACTTCTCTGTATTTTCTACTTTCCCCTCAGTCCCAAAAGGAAGCTGTGAAGTACGATAATAACTGAAAAAGCAACAGTTAAATGTGTTTCTTGAAAGAGCTCTGACTCTGTTAGTCTGTTTGACAGACCCCAGACAAGGTTGAGACAAAAGGCTGAAACAAAATGTAGATACATAATAAGGGGATGATGCACATTCTCTCTCTATCACGCCTGTAATTATACCATTTCTGCTAAAATTACAGATGCCGCAATTAAAACGTGCATTTTAATTTGAGAGCACAAAAACAATTAGGAACAATGCTGAGGTGTCTCTCCCAGGAAGATCCAAGTGATTTCCACATTATAAAAGAAAGACAATTTCTTTATTTTAAATGTCAAACAGCATGAAAAAGTGTCAAATGTGTAACAAAAAAAAAGACAAGCTCTCTTATACTGTAATGCTGCACTATTCAGCTGTAACAGGAGGCTTTGTCTGTCATTTTTTGGTCCATCTCCATGTTTTCAGGCAATGGGCAGTTGGATGAGCCACACAGAGTTTCTATGTAACAGACGGTGCTTGCCCCAGCCACCATAGGCTTATGCAATTTGGCCCCCAGCCCAGCGTCCACGAAGTGGCAACCTGGGCATGCCAAGCAGCATGGCAGCAGGAGCCTATGCAGCAGCACATTGCTTGCACTTGTTGATCTAGTCCCACTGTGGAAACCCAAACCTTGCATTTATGGGGGGGCTGGGGGAGGCAGCAGTCCTCCCCCTACATGCATGATGCTGCTGGACCTGCCATGGCTGAGCAGACCCTCTGAACACATCCTGGAAGAGCGCAAACCTCCCCAGTCAGGGAACGTGCCGCACCGGGGGTCCAGAGCACAAAATTCATCCCTAGCACCAAGCAGGACGGACAACTCTGGTGCAGTTTGGGGGCAGAGGAACTTTCCAACAGCCCTCACATCCTTCCTGTTGCTACAGCTGCATCTCTTGTAATCACCCCAGTGAGTATGAACTGTTGAGGCAATTCAAATGGCGAGGAAGCTGCCAGACAGATCGATTGGCTCCCCACCAATACACTGGGATACTGCTACTGCTACATACTGTCCAATGGACTGGCAGATGCATAGTGTGCCTCTACTAAAATTCTATTTTCAGGAAGAGATGAAGGGCAAACATCCCCATGCTGCACTAATTACAATATTACATGGCTTATTTAGGATTCTTTTACAAAACACTTCCATGAGTTTTGCTTGCTTCTTCTTTCTCAGCAGTATACTGGGAAGTACGGGACAGGACTGATGCTAAGTGAGCACAGTCAACACTACTATCAGGCCTGCCTGGAGTAACTGGTGTGGAGATAATGACAGAGAACAGGGCTTTTACAACGGGCTGGCAAAAGCACCAACTGATTTGGGAGAAGCAGCAACACACTTTGGGACCTACACTGCAGGCAAAGGAGCTGTTGAGTTGCGCAGCTAAAGCTGGAACAAATGCAGTCACACAGTACTGACAAAGCTTGTGCACCTCTGGCTGTGCAATTTCAGTAACAGCCACCAGCTACCCTGCCAGCTTTGTAGCTGCCAGATTTACAGATACCAGCTTCCCCTGGAGGCGAAGCTGACAGGAAGACACAAGCCTACACTGACATGTGGGTTTCCTTGGTTTCTTCCCCCTAGGCAAGGACAGTTTCAGATTTAACAAATGCACTCTAAGTGCACACTGATATCTTGGTTAAAACTGGCAAGAAGTGACTGTTGAAACTTGGAGCCCAAGCTCAGATCCTTTTTTTAAAAAAAGTCTTATTTTCAGTGGATGTCTGCTTAGCACTTTTTAGAAAGTCAGGCATCTCAAGTCATTCCTTCTAAGATATTCTTAAAATAACAAGGCATGAGTTGCCTTTGAAAATTGTTTCCCTTTATATCTGTGATGTCTCATACAAAAACCTTTAAAATATATGCCCCTCTAGAAATAATTCAGGCTAACGTTTTCACTGTTTCCTTCTACTCAGTATTTCTTACTAAACAGGTCTGCATAAAACCAGGATATTTAATCCACATGGCTTTCCTTTCTTGCTGCTTCTCTGTTCCCATATTTCTGATTTCCATGAAAATTACCGACTTAAAATAATTAGTAATTAACATTTTAGTAAAATGCTTTGAATCCACTAGGGACTGTTTGTTTCAACAAGCACAGCTTAAATTCTCTAAAGACTGCCATTACAAATATCATGTGGAGCAATGCACTACAGACATTTTTCTCCATGTATTAAGAAATTCTTAAGAATTCAAAGCTAAGTTAATAACTCTGTCCATCCCCATGAAGAAGTTACGGTGTAAGCAGCCTCTGACACTCCAGCTGCTCTGCAGCAGCTCTCCAAGTGTACTCCTTAGCCTCGCAGTAAATGCACACTCCTCTTTCTTAGGGGTAAGCCACCTAAAGATACCTCATGCTTTCTGCAGGCTAGAAGTATGCACGTTAGCAATTGCTTTTGAGCCGCTGACATCCTCAAGCTCACCCCTTCTTGACCTTCAGTAACCTGCTCATGCATCCACCATCTGATTTTCTAAAGCTAATCCTGGTGAAAAGGGAACAATACACAGAGCAGTATTTTAGAGGAATGTGCTCCATCTTTTGGCTCATGCAGGCCACACAGCCTTTTATCAAGGCATTTTGAGAATTGAAGGAGCGATTCTTTCCCAACACGTGACTGAATAAGTCGGTCACGTGCCCAAACTGTGACCAGAGATTACTCCATTTCAGTCATGTGAACAAAGCATGTATAATTGCCTAATAGAAGAGAAGCCGCATGAAAAAAGTAGCAAAGAGCAGACTGTCAGAAAAACTCATCTAACATGAGAATCACTCTTTGCACACATCAGAGATGCCTCTGGGAATAACGTTCCCAGGAACAAGCCCAGGTGAATTACTCGGGCAGACAGAACTCAGCCTGATGGTTGGGTATCCTTCTTTTACAACTTGCAGATCCCTCCCTCTCCTTGAAAAACAGCAACAGCCTTCTGAACACTTACATGTGGCTAAAGCAAGCCAGAGAGTGAGCTGATCTAGTACACCCTACAATTACAAAAACAAAGCTCCAGTAATTCTTATTCTGTGGCATTTGGTAGCAATGCTGCTGCTTGGGAGTAGTTATTAAAGATATGTAGTTACCACTGGAAAGTGCTCTTCAGTAATTATTGACCTAGAACTTAACAGTCTACTTATAGATTCAAAGACAAAGCATTTTTCTTCCCTCCCTTCTGTGGAGAGGATAAAGAGGGAGATCTTAGGGCAATGGCATTCAAAAGGGGTGTTCATGTGGAAACCACACACTAATGATGCATCTCAGGCTTCTAGATCCATTCTGTAGGAAAGTAACTCCTTGCTTAAAAAAAAAAGCCAAGAAGGGAAATCTCCTTTCTCACATTCTTTTTCTATGGTTACTCTCTGGTGATAACAAGTTCTAGCTTTAGAGCACCTAAATGCTATAATTTGCCTTGGGATTAATCTTAGTCTCTCTGAAGTAGTAGCTAACTTTCTTCTGAGTTTAAAGGAACAAAGATCTTGCTCGTGTCTTGACTTGAGAGCATAATTTCCTTTCCTTACCTATCCTTTCCTCTCCCAAATATCTTCACAGGCAAAGGAAATGGATGTTAATACTTGGTAACAGAGCTAGTATGCCCACAGGCTCTTTCCAGCCAGTTTTATGTACAGTCAATTTAAAGAATCTAACTCCCATATCTACAAAAGCTTTTACTGAGTAAACACTCTCTTTAATTTCCCTTTTAGTTTATTATCACAGGGGCTAAGATTAATATTGACAATGGTTTGGCTCTTTAGCTTGTATTTTTGCTCTTTTTTCAGGGTTAAACAGTATTACTTCTATTATTATATAATTACAGTATAATCATTATAAAGCTCATCATTCAAAGTCTTAAGGAAAAAGATTAGGAAAAGTTTAACGTTAATTTACAATGTGTTGCTGCTGTTCCTACCCGTATTTTATGGATTAACTTATTATTTACATGTTTTCAACACACAGAAGGCATCAAAGTTGGACCCTGAAATAGGTATTTCATACATGATGCTCACATACATCATTAACTATTAACTTCTGAAAGAAAATAGAAAAGAACAATTTTTCACTTGCTCCAAAATGGCTACATTCTTGCCATCTCACCCTATTTACAGGCATTGACTTGAGTAGTCAGGTAAGTTAGTAGCATAATAACTCTTGATTAAAGGGGAAAGAGAGACATTTAGGTATAAATATGTAAACACATTAAAAAAAGATGCCTCAGCTATTTTGTGAAGAAATGTGTCCACTAGCATGCAGCAATGGTGTTAACTGGGACTTGACCCCCAAGGAAACACTAACACACTTAGCAAAGTAGAATCAAACACAAATTACCTTTGAATCAGCATCCCAACATTGGTGCATCAGTTCTGCAAAACTTGTGGGACAACTGCTTGGAATGGTTAATCTCTAAAGGAAAGAGAATGTACCAGTTATTTGAAGCATTCCTCTTTAAGCTTCTACTAACAGATTTCCTATAAAAGCAATGCAATTAAAAGAAGTAAAACACATTTTTTATTCTTTTAAATGCAATATAAAAACTGAGGATTGACATATTAAAAAAAAAAAAATCAAAATTACTAACACTAGCAAGACTTACAAAGTAATTAAGAGATCTATAAAGAAGGACTGGAACAAATGCACAAATTAAGTTGCTTAAGAAAGCTCAGAGACAAGGAAGTGAAAACAAGGCAAACAACTTTTAATATTAAAACATAATAGTTTGTGGAGGTTACTGCACGGTATTCTAAGATGCTTGTCAAGAGAGGCATAACATACAGCCTGCCTTAATTCCTTTCTCCCACACAGATGATCCAGCTGTACAATATTATAATCACTTCTAATAGAACAAATGACTGAAATATAGATTGCATTAAGTGAGTTAAAAAGAGTTAAGTGAAGCTCTACATGACACAAGAGACATTTCATGAGCCTGTGGTCAGAAGGATTAATGAGGACATGCAGATCTGAGAGAGCACTCACAGAGCACAGTGAATTCATAAATATTTCCTGATGACTGAAGACAAGGAGTTGCTGGTTATAGCCAGGACCATTCACTACAAAGAATTAGTCTGAGGCTTATTTGGTTTCCTTTGCTGAGAGTTTTAAACCATTAAAAGATTCCCTCAGTCAGTCTTAGAGGACTTTTAGTTTAAAGACTCTGCCTTCCACACTGTAAAGTCTAAAAGCAAATGCATTCTCATATACACACACCCAGATACCTCTCCAGTTGAGATTAAATGTGCATCCCAACAACATTACACATATAAGGAGATCCCACTGCTCTCGCTAAGGCAGTTACCTGACTTCAGATCTTTCATACTGAATTAAAAAATATGTAGACAAAAAAAACCCAAAACAGTTCCTCCGTGAAAATGGGTCCAAATATAAGCAGAATCAAGCTGGAAAAAGGGGTTCCCTGTCCTCTAAAGGGTTTGAACCAGGTATTACAGTCCTGTTCAGACCAACCTGCCAGGAAGACCCTTTAATCTGTCCTACTCTTGGCATTTCAGAAGCAAAGCAGAGCAAGTGGTGTCAAATTGTACCATTACATATATTACTGCAACGTGACCTGCAAAACCTTACAAGCCACAGCAGCCAAAGTAAGAGTTAACAGATTCTGCTGCGCAAGCATTTGAACACCATGAAAACTGGAAACATGAGATACAGAGCTAGGGCACTGCAGCAGTATGATTATTAAAATAATGTAATACCTTAAGGTGCGAAGCTTTCTGTGCAAGAAGTACACAGAACTTTGTACAATGTATAAATAAATTGTACTGGTGCTTGATCTCTGGTTGAGTCATTAGCCTAAAAATATACCGGCTAGTCTTGCTACAGTATTTGTCTGTAACCCTCACTGTTCCAGGAGGTAGAAAATCAGTTGCAATCACCACTTAAATGGGTCTCACTTGTGCAGAATTTTATCGGTCATGTATTATAGAGGTAGCAGGTTCCAAAAGTGTCACGTGATAATAAAGATGACGTTTCTCAGTGGTAATTTATTATAAGATCATGCCTAGCATAATCTGAACTCTCATGTTTTTCTTTTCTGGATTAAGAGCATACGTAATTTTATAGAAACTCTACCAGAATAAAAATAACACTGTGAAATTACGCAAAGTTGAAAAACACCCACACAGAATCATTAAAACCCACGTCATTTGTTGGGCTCAGGCTTTGCAGAGGGGAAATTTTCACCCTACGCAATTATGCTTTGGCCTCAGTCCCATGCTGATTTTAACAAGAGACTCGCATTGCAAAAAATGAGGGACTGGCTCAACAGCGATTCAACTTTGTCATGAACCAGAATCATGCAACCCCATTGATGTCAACAGATTGAACTGAGAGCAGAACCTGACCCTCACACTTGCTTTGGGATTATGAAGAAAAGTAGCACGACCCGACTTTTACAAGGCTTATGCTGGGCACGTTCCCTAAGTCACGGCCAGAAAAAATAAAAACTATGTAACCAAGTGTTAATGCCCTCTAAGCTCGCTAGCACCCTTCCAAAGAAGATGGTAGCAACAGGTTAGTGGTACCTGGCAGACACACAGCTGGCTCTGAAAATGTCACCCCTTAGGTTTCTTCAGCCATGAGTAAAACAGTTGTCATGTCTACATTTTGTTCATACTGTATTTTACACAGTTCCTTGCTCTGGAAAACTATAGAGAAATGTGTATTGTACCCTCTGACATCTTTTGGTCTACAACTACATCTCTTTACAACATTCCCAATGCCACTCCCTACCCCTTACATAAAACTACACATGGTAGGCAAAGGAAAGAAATACTGAAGGCTTAACGGTTCCTCCTTCAAACCAATGTATGAGGCTTTTCCTAAACTAGGAGAGTCTCATTGTGCCTCCTGCTCTGACAAACACTGTAGAAGACCACAGTCTTAATCTTCACACTATTAGTGTAGCATTTCCAACTAATCGGTGTATCACAGTGTGACTCACTGGAATTAATCCAGTCCTCAAACAAGAAGAAAAAAAAAGAGAGGGGAAAAAAACCCACCAACAAAAAATACTAAACTAAGAGGAGGAAACCTAACCCTCTGTTTAACTCTGAAGCATTTTGAGAAACAGTTTATGTAGAATAATAGGAATCTGTATTGTACAGCCACTGCCTCGCCATTGTAATGTTTCCCAAGCTTCCGCTGTGTCTAGATAGAGGAGGTTTCATCTTTGTGGAGGATTTCCATGCTTGTCTGTGTGTGGTACAGTCACAACTTTAAATGTTTTTTAAATGTAGTTACTGTCTTTGATATCAAGGGACTATGTGTTCAAATATATGCTCACATGTCCAACTAACTGAAAGCCTCAATTTGTGAGAAGAAGAAAAGCGAGGCTGGGGACACTGTACAAACGGTGTTTACACCACTGAAGTGCTTTTGAAATGGAAAGACTCTGCATGAGGAGGCTTGCAGCTATGCCACAGCCTTGCCGATACCAGTGAGGAGCTCATCTTCAATGTAGTGTTGAACGTAGGTGGCAAAACTGTAATTTCTCTCTTTTTTTAAAACTATTTTTTCTTCTTTTATTTTTGAAATTTTCATCTAAGCGGCAGTTTCTTGTACTATAGTGACTCCTGCTGGGAGAGTTAAGTTGAAGTAGCTGAAGGTCTCTTACAGATATATCAACTCCCGGCCAGTAAAAAGATGTCCTAAACGCAGGAGATGGAGTTAAACTGTTCCCCTACCTTGGACGCAATGGCTTCTTTCATCACTAAGAACAAACCCCTAGGTTTTACAATTGAGACTGAGAAACTAGTACAGTACTTGTACAATTTTTGATCTACAGCATCACGACGTGAAGCTGCAACAATTAGATGTAAAGGGTCCATTCATGAGGAATAACATCACTTTGACCCTTTGTGTTAGCTCCTACTGCTAATCTTTCCATACGCGTGAACTTACTTTCAATTTGAAGAAGATGAAAAAGTCTTTTGCAAAACCCCAATACTGTTTTCTGATCTATGTACCTGAATGTAGAAACGTAGTCTTACCTCGTTTTTTTCCACTACAAGCCAAGCTACTTGTAATCCTTCCAAGCCTTTAAAGGGGACCTCCCTTGTTAGCATCTCCCAGAGAACCTGGAACAGAAAAAAAGAAAAGAATTTTTATTTCTGTACTTTGTATTTTAAATACATTATTAAACCTTGATACAGCTCTATTCTGTATCCAATTATCAGACAACCAGTTTCCATTTGCAGGAACTTGGACCAGTGTTTGTGTGCAAGATCCTCTCACTAAATTAATTTGAATGTTTCTGGGTTTTTCTCTACAGAAAAGCCCAGATGAAAAACTGGGTTGTGTGGGGTCTAAAGCCTGCAATTTTATGAGAGCCACGGAAAATGCTTTTTACTTTCTTTGTACACTATAAAGTTCACATTTGGCAGTTGAGACCTGGGAAGACAATGAACTCCTCCTCTCCTTCTCAGCCCCAACTAGACACTTCTTTGCTTTGTAGTCATTTTGCATTTAAAAATATTTCTATGATTGCAACTAGTGCTTCTCAGTAGTCAGAATATGATCCAAAAGGCATTTTGCTCCTATGATATGCCTATGAAAATACTAAATATAATTTTGCAAGCAAGACTGTAATTGTTTATCTCCAAGTATGTGATTATATTAAACTAAACAATATACAGCATATAGAAAATTACCCTGTTCTCCTCAATATCTTATAGATCCACTGTCCTAAGATATAGAAAGATCTCCTAATTTCGCATGCTTTTAGCATTTTGGTAGCACGGTACCCAAGAATTTAAGCTACTCTGTAGAAAAAGAGTTTGGCATCACCAAAAAGGCTTCTAGTCAATGAATCCAACTTGCTTTTCTGCCATTGGGACTACATACTGGAGTTCAACCAAATTAACAGGCACTTCGTACCTTCACTTGTGTATGTCTTTATTTTTTTTTTTCTCCTTTTTTTTTTTTTTTCTTAAATCAGAACCTTCATATACATCTCTTGTTACAAAGATCTACATACAAAGTTTTTCTTCTGCTCATATACCTAGCACACCAACAAAAAAAGGCATCATTTGTGTAGGATCTGACCAAACACATTAAGATCCTTATGCAAGTCTCTATATCCTCACTATTTGGGTTAGTACCCAGGCTTATTCCAGCTACCTCATTTTGAATGGATTCTGGCCAGCTATGAAGGCAATTAGAAAGAAAATGTGAGAATATTGGCAGATGCTGCTCAAGCAGAAAAAATGCATTTAAGCAGAGTTGGGCCTTTAATCAAGTGAACAAGGTACTCCATCAATAAACCTATTTGAATAATTCTGCTTGAGTCAGAAGACTGATTAGTGAAGGTATGGGTATCTTGGAAAAGTAAGTAAAAGGACAGTTTTCCTGAGAATAAGAAATATATGGGGAAAGCTCTTTGCCTTAATTCATTCCTTTTAGGAGAAAAAAAAGGCACCTCAATTTGTAATTCCAATTATCATTTCTCTACTTGTAGGGAAGGAAATTTAACTGTGAGAGAAGGAAATAATTTAGCAGTCCCATATACTTCAGACAAAAAAAAAGCAGTGTACAAATCAGCCAGCTTAAAACAAAAGCCCCTCGACCAAATCAAACATGCAGCTGAGCAGCCTTACAGAACCACCTCGTCTATATGATTATACCAGGAAACCACAGAAAAGAAATTCTAGTTAGCACATCAGGTAAAAGCAGTATCCAAATACATCGTCCAAGTAAAGAACACAATGCAATACATGTCAAATGTCTCCAAAAGCCTTGATCAGGAAAACTCTACTGTCAGAAGGCTGTAAATTGTAAGAGTTGTCTCATTTCATTCATGCACATAAGTTTGTGCAGAACATTTTCCACTGAATTCCTTTATCGTGACACCTTTAGCGTTTATTTCCACTGCCTGTACAGATCACTGCCTTCCTAAACCAACAGTGCTAGCTTAGAACACTTGACTGCACATAGTTCAAGAGAAAAACCAGCAAATCTGACACAATGTCTTATTTTATACTAATTGTTGAAGAAAGTAAAAGATACAAAAGTGGCATGTCAGAAATCCTTGTATTTATTTACACAGGTTTAGAAAACGTTCTAACAACAACGAACATTTCATGTTCAGGCCCATGGCGTAGACAAAGCCTTTCCTTCTAATGGTGACATGCCTCTATCTTCAGGTTTATAGGAGCTTCAACCCCATCTCATGAACTAGCTACCCTGAATCATCAGCTAAGGTGAATGATTGCATTATCAGTCTTTTAAAAAGCAGCAAATGGGTATCTTCTGCATTCCCATTTGTCTCTTCCTGTCCTCAGAGTCATTCAGCAGCAGAAAAAGCACCTCCACCTGACCTACCCTGGCTTCTTTACTGCAAGACACACTTTGCTCATTTTAGAACTGGCTCTCCAGCTCAGCTCATATGGAAATCAATCTACCTTCTACTTCTGGTGTAATTTAATTAAGACTGACATGGTTCACTTCCCTTCCTATCTTTGATGGTGAGGATCACCTGCTTTCCTGGTCACATCACATCTCTGTGATGACGGACAGCAGGCGCTCACAGAGAAACAGTCAAGGTAGACACAATGATGGGAAACAAAGCAAGATCATTTAATGTAGTGGTTTGTAATCTGTGGCCTCTGAAGATGACGGGCTTTTCTTTGCATACAGAGAAACAGAAAGGAGAGACAAATGTATGAATGTTCATCCCATACATGAAGCTGAGAATAAGAATTACACGGTCTTCAGAAAAAGCTCACACACTTACTTCTGCCAGCTCAGCTATGTATTTCAATTCTTACCCTTTCAACTATGTGAAAACAACCAAAAGGGGTAAAAAAAACCCAAACCAAAACAAAAAAAACCCACACCCCCACCCCAGTGCAAAGCCAACAAAGATGGAAAGTGCCATATAGGTTAGGGAACATCCAAATGAGTAATTTGAAAAAAAGCAAACACTGAAAAAAAAAAAAAGAAATGTTTTCTCTTGGTAGGAAAGTGTCCACAGATGAGGGTCAGGAGCCACAATTAGCAGAAGTACAGCATGAGCAGAAGGTTGCATTCTTAGAGGTAGGGTCCTTAGGTCAGTCTTCTCTGCATTGATCCAAGTGGAAGTTAAAGATCTCATAATTCTTTCCAAAAAGAGTAAGGGATAACCCCTGAAGCTGGCTAACATTCCCTCTATAAATAACGTATGTCATCATAGCTAAAGCAATGTATGAACTATTGCTAGGAGCCTAACAGCTGCTACATTTAATGGCAGTCTCCATGCTACCAATAGCCAATTAATGGTTTTGTTCTTGTAAGTGTTAAAATAATTCAGCTACATCGCATAAGTTTCCTATGATCAAACACATTTATACTGATACACAAACACACACTGCAGTGCACTACAAACAATTTTGCCAGGATAACATATTCTGAGATGTATCTTCATGATTTCAAAACAGTTTTTAGAGTAAACATTGCAATTTCACATACATTTTCACATCTGGAAGAGAAGCACAGAATCATTTTTGAGCAACACACACATGCAAGTCAATCACTTGGTATCTATTTGGAGTATGGATTTGGAAATGGAGTAGAAAAAGAATCACATCATGGCTGAAGGAAAGTACAACATCTGTCTTTGTGTTGTAATAAATCTCCTGGAACATTTAGCTTTAGCATTCCATGGCAGTATTATAAATTATTTACTATATATCTCAAAAAGAATACATGGACCTGTTTAACCATCCATGAAGAGCAGGACAAACTAATCTGAATATTAGCTATAAACATGTACACAACTGTTCACAAAAAAGGAAATTTCATTTCAGCTGGGGAGCAACTCAGATGTGTAAGGCTGCAGAAAGACTTTGACACTTCATGGAAATAAAAGCTCTTGCATACCTTAAGCAGAATATTTAAAATCACAGACTGGTTCACAGAAACAAAAGCCATTCAGGAAAAAAAAATAGCAGAAAAGAAATTAAAGAAAACCATGGGGAAGGCGACAAATATTGCAAACAGAATATCTATTCCTAGCATCTTACTAGTTTACATTTGAAAGGATTCTGTTCTTTGTTAACAGGACTTTAACTGAAGAAAAGCAGATTTGTCTCTCTAACACAAAAGCTGCTGGCAAGTGTTACACTTTGAAAAGATTCTTTAAAATTTTGTTTTTATAGATGATAATCATTTGAAGAGACAAAAATACCGTTTCTAAGATTTTTTGTTTTCAGTCTCCTAGCTAATTCTCTCATAGTCTAACACTTATTATAGGGAGATTCCAACTTTCAGTGTTATATTCGGACATATTTCTTGCCGGTATAACCCCATTATGTCAGTAATTTCATCAACAGAGAACTTGGGCCACTGCCATTCTTCGTTTTTACCTCCGTATCTCCTCTGAAAATGATGGTGTTCCAAGACTGGAGTTATAAAAAGATGAATTCATTCCTAAGTGCTTATGAATTCATAAGCTTCTACCCAAAGTAAAACACATTAGCTCAAAAACAATATATTAAAAAAAGAGAGTCAAATATTATTACGCATACTAAAGTAGCACTATACACTCATAACCACATTAAAATATTCTAAAGTAACACTGAACTGTTTTCATACAGAGGGTAATTGAGTTTTACCTCCAAGCACAGAACTGTCAAAGAAGCTTTACTTTTTGGACAAGAAAAAATAAACTATGTGCAACATACTGTTCCCAAGGCTCTGGTAATACTTGACATGATAAGATATTAAGCAGTTTCTTACCTTCTCCCACTTCTAAAATGTTACTTAAAGTCAATTCACATCAAGATGACTATGTGAGCAGTTTGAGCTATAAGACCATGTTCAGAATTTCTTCTCTAACAACTTTGCTTTGCTTTGAAACTGGAATGTTTCCCTTTGGTGGATAATATGTGATTGCTTCCAGTAATAGTTTACATTAACATTTGTTGGCTTATGTTCTCTTACTGTTTGTGACCTAATTCAGTTAAGCAAGCAAGGATTTTCAATCTGCCAATATAGGCTTTTCTCCCTCCTTGCACCTTCAACTTTTCATTTGTAAGTGACACCACATCATTTCTCATATTTTTTTCACTATAAACAACTGTTGGCAAAAAGTTTTAAGTCCTCTTCCATTGGGACATCAGCTTAGCTATGTATAGCCAGAGGTGCTAGCTTAAAACCATAGTGCCCCCCTCACATCTATCTCCTGCCATCCCTCAAAGAGAAAGAGGCAATACTTGACAGATACTGAAAGAATATCTCATTCTGTCACCCACCACTGAATCTAAAATCAAAAATGGTTAATACACAGATATGCATGGAAACTACAACCCCACCTCCTTTCCTTTTCCCCCCAAAGTATTCATTACAGTTCTCTGTCAGAGAAAGCCTATGGGGCTAGGCAGGCAGTTGGTCTGACCAGCAGGGCTATTTCCAGCCTGTTTCGTATTGCAGAGCAAAACCAAACTAGAGTTTAACTGTGGACAGAGTGAAATAATTTGCATTCCCGTACCTGCAAATCTGACACACTGATAAACTATAACTGATTGTTCCCCCTTTAGAAAAACTGCAAAGTCATGCCCGACTTCTCTATATTTTTAGCTGGGGCCTCCACAAGAGGTATAGTCTCTATTCTCACAGCTAATGATAGCAGGGTCTTTTAAACAATTAAGCATGGAGAAGTGGCTTACTTTTTAACATAAAATCAGTGACACTCCATTCTACGGAAAGTGGAATCCTAATCAGTTCATCCTGTTACACACCTATTGCAACACAACCTTCTCTTCTGTTCCACTAAAAAACTCAAGCAAGAGATTCATGCCGTAGATTGTTTAGTGGCTCCTGCAAGCCTTCAGACATAGGCTGAACAGTTGTGGTAAATCATGCGCTTCCCACACTGGCATGCTGCTAATCTAATCAGATAAGGAACTTAGTAAACACACAAGACACTGTTCTTCCTATCATTTCCAAGCATGTAATTATAAATTATGGGTCAGTCTTCAAAAAAATGTGGTATTTTTTGTTGCCCTTACTTAGAATTGTTGTTCTTGTATAACACTAATTCTGTCACACTAGAGATCTGCTTCTACACACAGGGAAATGAGAGGCACTCACCACTCCGTACGAGTATGTGTCACATGTTTCAGACACTGGGAGACTCTGGATAACTTCTGGGGCCATCCACGGAAAAGTGCCCACTAATGACATGTGTGTTGTATGAGAGTGGAACCTTGAGGCACCAAAATCACAGATCTGGCAAAAATAAATAAAAAAATAAAGATTAATCAACCTAATTCATTAGGTATCAAAACATTGAGCCAGGCAGCAACATCTCTCTACAAATAATTAAAGTGTTCATACCTTTAACACGCCATCAGCAGCTATAACAACTGAAAATGAAAAAAATATAGGTTACAAGAACAGTACTAAAAATAAACACAACACATTTTCACAGTAAAAGACTTTGCATTTTATCAAGAAAAATGACCCTACAGTGAGCCAGCACCTGAACATGCACACAGGCATAATTGTCCTGGTTTCTCTGAGAAGCTTTAGAGAACATCTGCTGAATACCTGAAAGCCTTTGAACAAATGCAAAACATTTCAGGCCTTACTGAGCTTAAAGATAGCAACACAACTACAGCTAAAATACAGATAAACTCCATTCTCCCCAATGTAGTTAGCTTTAACAAGAAGCTCTCTGAAAGACGCATTAACAAAAGGAGAAAACTTACAACTGAGCTGAGATCTAGACTTTTCTTGACTATTATTTCCCTATGTGCATTATTAAAATGTGTCCCTCCTATCCCACTACTAGTAGTGAAAGTTTCAGTTAAAAGGCAATGTTCAGCAAATTTCATAAATAGTTGTTAACTACTAAGTACAGACTAACCAGCACAGCTCCACACTAAGTGCATATAACTCAAAAGCATGAGTATCTGTCAAACCTCAAAACAGGCCACAGTAAAGATGATTTTTCAGAGAAGAAATAATAGGTCTTATCCAGTCTATTGTGTCTGGTGTCGGCCAGCCTTTCCTGGTTCTCAACCTTTCCAAATAGAAAAAGGAAGTGAAGAGTGTCCAGGCAACGTGTGACAGCTGATAAGATGGGTGCAATCATGGTCAGCAAGACACAGCTTGAAAGAGATCTCCACAGTGCTCTAAATGATGCTAGGGACTGTAATGAAGGCCAGAGAGGCTCAGATTGGGGAGGAAGGAACAAGATCTTCTGTGCCTCAACAAGTGCAGCTGGATGACGGCCAAGGCATTAGTTAGTTCTACATGTTCACAAAGCTCAGGTATAGATTTAAACGCTACATTAACAGGTAACAGTAAATGCAGAGCATTTCAGTGTTTCGCTACTTTACCATTCCTTGATTTCAGATCCCTGTGGATTACTTTGACTGGAGCTTCCATGTGTAAATAGTGCATTCCTAAACAAAACAAGGGGACAATCTAGTTAGGCAGGCTGAGCGTGGCCATCACGCGTCAGCAGTCATGTCTTCTGGTTCCCATTAATTGTACTTATTACAAGCTGGCATACCTGTAGACCGTATCGATATTCTGCAGGAGCAGCAAAGCGTCCCATAATCTACTTTTAGTGAAAAACACTAAGCAAAGCTCATATATCTCTCAGAGCATCTATATGGGTATGCCAATGCTTTTTAATGTCGTATTTACTTATTTTCTCTAAGGTGGTGTCTTCACAGGGAAGCCAAGATATGAATTTACTGGTTCGTTCATTAGTTTATAATAGTTTTTGTGTGGTCACAGAGAACACAAAGGATGAAACAGGATGGAACAGCTTGTTCTGTATTATTAGATGAAGAATTTCAGTATGCTTGCTGAGAATAAGCCCTTAGCTTCCTTAAACATCCCAATTCAAAACATATGTAAGGATAATTATGCACTTTACCTCATAATCACTCTACATCAGCAAAATTATCCGCTTGGGACTTAGGGGCAAACTAGAAGTAAAAATGGCTCATAGAAGCGATTTTCACTCCAGAAATTATTTTGTATTCCTAATAACCAAGGAACATATTAAAAAGCACAGTGAATGGAGTTTGCTTTTTTTAATGTTTGTTTGTTTGGGGTTTTTTGTTGTGGTTTGTTTTTGTTTGGTTGGTTGGTTGGTTTTTTTACAATCTGAATAAGGAAGTATAGTAAGGCTTTCCTGACTTCATAGGGAAAGCATCTCCAGCTGTACACTTTGCTGGCTGTGTGAGATAGTAATGCACCATTCGTCTTGCTTACCTTTAGCTATGTCAGTTGCCCAGGTCATGATATGATCCATATCCATCTCTTCACTTTTGTTGCTATTAATGTAATCAAACAGTGAGCCAGCAGAAGCATATTCTGTTAAAAAAACCCAACAAACTCACATGACATTTTAAAACATTGCATCTAAACATTGCATCTAATGGAAACTCCACCAGTTCCAGAAAGCAGTCAACCTCTGGCTTAATGACAAAGAATTTGGTTTCAGTGGCTAGTATTTTTAGTAGTGCAGTAAGAGAGTAATAGTTTGTTCTGATATCCCAACACAGACATAACCTACTGCTAAGAGTTTAAAAAAAAAAAAAAAAAAAAAGGTAAAATCGTATATAACAACCGGCATTAAAATGAAAAGGCATTAGAAAGGTCTGGCATCGTGAAAGCTCAGGCAAAGCAATTCGAATTCCAGAGTAAAAGGTTCTGGATGCTCCTTGTTCAGGATCAACAGACCTTTTTCTTAACTTCTCTCAACTATACCTACAGAAACCCACAGCAGGATTATAAGGGTACAAACAAGAGTTTTTTTGGCCCATTGGTGTTTGCGAGCGTGGTAGATGGAATCCAGTCCGACTGCCAGAGCTCATGGGGCTGATAGCTAGAATAACAAGCTAGTTACACCTATGCACATTTAGGTGTGAAACTGGAGACAACAGAAACCTCCATAGCGTCACTTGAAATTCCTACCTATTTAAACAGTAAATCTGCCACTCCTGATCAGAAAAGTGGTTAATGGATGAGTTTGGTGATATCAGATCCTTTTTATTGTTTCCAAAGACAGAGGATATTCCCCACTGGTGAGAAGCACTACATAGAAATGATGTCCCATAACAAACAATTTTTTTTTTTTAAAAAAAAAAAAGGTAAACCCAGATGTTAAATATGTAACGTTCTATTAGGAGGAAAGGGTTTGAAAGTAGAAAAAGAAACTAAAATTTTCTTTTCCTGTTCCCCACGGAGGAAGAGAGTAGCAGATCAAATAATTTGCTCATGATAAAAAAGGATGAAACTGGAGGTCTAACCCAGAGGTAAGCAGGGCAGATTTCCACATGCTGCAGGTCATGTTCAGCAGTCTAAAGGCTTTGGCTCCTCTGCTTGGTATTTATTAAATAAGTTTTATGCTTATATGTGTTCATTCATTTTTCACTGAAAACACAAGGTTCACGAGTTGAAGCAGCCGACACATTTTCTTCTATCTGGTTGCCAAGACAGAGCGGGCACATACTACCCAGTGTAGCCCAAGCAGCACAAAGACCAGGGGGATGCAAGAAGCAACTTCAAGCCTTTCACCTGCCTCTCCCAAGGCTATTCAGTGTGCTTCACAGGCAGAATTTAAAACCTACTTAAAATACTCCCAAAATCTTCATACCTAATGTGGCAAACCAGCTGGCAAACAACTGAAATGCTTAAGTTCAGCCATTTCAAAGTAGCCATAAAATCATTCCCTCTAAGACTACATCAAATATATTCAAATTGTTGTTAATAATAATATTAATCAAGGAATGATGCATAATAGGCTAAACACATAAAAAAATAAAACATTGCTCCTCATCAAGGAAGTCAAAAGCACTGTGAGATTACTGCGTGGGGAAGGAAACTCTGGGACAAGACTGAATCTGCAGCCTAGAACATGGTAGGCCATAGGAGAAGATTCCAGCGCTAAATGAACGGAAAGAGGGAGAAAACAGGAAGTCTCTTGAAAGTAAACACTGAAGTGGCAAGTTGGTTTTGGATCATCACTGCAGGACCTCCAGCTGAAGGGAGCCTCTGCAGGAGACAGAAGTGTTGTTCTGATGTCACCAAAAGAGGAGTAAGCTGCTGACTTGCACAGTTCCTCAATTAAAACATAAGCTTTTTTTACCCATGATGTCATATCCATCTTATAAATGGATTCTTCAGGAACAGGGTGGCTGCATGCTTTGCATGCCTTCACAATGCATAATTTGATCCACCAGGGTCAGGGACAACTCTGCTCCCTAAGCCCTCTGCCACTCCGTGTGAACAGAGGCAGGCAAGCTTCAAACCACAAAGCTCGATCCTTTAGTATTTCTTCTACATATTTATTGTGCCACAGGTTTTTATTAGGAGCTTATGGATTTAGAAATCACATCGTGAGGATAATTTTCTGACAATAATGGGAGAGAGATACTTGCTTTAGACAGAATGCCTGACTGGGCCCACCCTGTGATGGGCTGTAGGATACGCATTAAGTTTCTGTGCAGACAGGGGGCACAACCTCCGAGAACCTTTTGGGAGGAAGCAGCTGCAGCCAAAAAACAGATCTGAAAGCTACTCATTGAAACCGCTGTTGACAGAGACAGTCAGCCACATCTAGAATGATGTGATACATGGTAGCAGCTTGCCAGGCGAGATGATCGCTTACAACACTGATATACAGCCCAGCAGGGAAAGGTGTTTTGACTGCAGATATGGTGTTTCTCAGAGAACTCTGACATAAGAAGTTATGTGCAGCTAATGCTCGGTACATGCCAATGCTGGGCTAAATGCCCTCATCTCCATCACTCTGAAGAAACATTAGTTTCTCAGGATTTCTTCTTGTTTGGGATCTTCCCTCATAAGAAATGGATCTCTAACTAAACACAGGATTAAGTCTGCAACACTGAAGGCCATCCAGAAGATCACGGAGTGAAAATCCCTCTAAAAGATATTTCAAGCACAATTAACATTTCTTTTCTCAGTAGCCATTCTCTCATTTGAAACTGGTGTGGGGAAATGGAGACTTGCTTCCCTTCCAACCCACAGGACTCCAGTCTCCTTGGAAGTTGTAGGGAGAACCAATGCAGTTTGTCAAAAAAAGCCTTTTTCTTTAGCCAGGGTGGAATCAGAGCTCCCCAAATAACAAAGTGGTTGGACTACACAGTGTAGTCTCTTTCTCACAGACAGTTAAAGAATCCCCATTCCCAATGACATAATGAACTACTTCAGCTGCTGTCTGTCCTGTGACTGGCAAGCAGGTCAAATGTCCTCTGAACACTGACCTTTTCTGAGATCAAACTGAGGACTTTCTGATCCAGACATCATTCTGAGTTGTTTATTACACATCTCATTTGTTACTCCGCTTGCTGGTTTACACTTGTTACGCTTCTGTTATAAATTATAGTAAAATTACATTACTTGATTTATTAGCTTTCTGTTATTTTTAATGCTTCAAGAAGGTATTCAAGTTCCTGTCTATATGCTATCACCAGCACATTCTCTGAGTGGTTTGGACTGGGGTCACCTTCATGCACCTCTGGAGTACTGGTTGCAACACCATGACCTCCAGTAGACTCATACTCCTGTGAGTAAAGCTCCCCATGCCCTGAACAGTGCTGTATCTCACATGCGCTCCCACCGGATTACACTGCCATCTACTGTGATAATCGGATGTCTAAGAGACAGGTAGAAATAACTGAATTTTCACAGGTCCTGTCCACCATCTAAGAACCAATAAAAACCTGAATGGCAGTGTTTCAAACTGATATCAGGCTGCGCCACATGCAAAGACTACTCTTGACATCAAACTCTTTGAAGTGTTACAGACATGCCAAAACGTACCTCCTAATCCATGCTTTCATGGTTTTCACCTCTCCAAACATTTGTTTCAGCAGATGGGAGATTTCTTTGCTTTCGGTTTGTTTTCTACTACTATCTTACCTAGTTTCTCCCATACAGGAAAGGGAGAAATTACATTCTGCAATGTAATTTTATATCTGGACCAACTCCCAAGATAAGGGAAGGAAGCCTGAAGTGGTGGAAAGAAAAAAACCAAAAAACAACAAACCAAGCCACGAACAAAACCACAAAATCCAACCTCCACATAATTCTAGGAATGCCAGAACAAACGAAACCTAGTTTCCAGTGAATGAACTGAGTTGTCTTATGGTGTCTAATAAATCCTTGACTCCATTTCAAGCTCTTCCCATAGCTGGGAAGTTCCCAAAGCAGATTCTCCTATTTTGAGTGCAGGCAGAATTCACAGTGCAGCTTTGCTTTGAGCAGACTCTCAGCCTTCCTTTCTCACAGAACTTGCCAGAACTTCATATCATGAAAACCTTGACTTCTGTCACACATCAGTTAAAACAGAAAAGCAATTCACAGAACACAGTAAGAGAACACAGTGAAAGCTTCTATTTAAAGGAGTGCTGAGTTTGTGCATTAAGAACACCCTAGGCTCCAGCTGCCTCTGCTGCTACCAGCCACGCTCCCAGCCTGGTTCCCACCTCCAGCACTCCCATTTACACTGAGGCAGGTGGTACTGAGCACCCTAACATTCAAAGAAGGCCAAAACAATTACCAAAACACTGAAACTGGGTAAAGCTAATACCTTGTAACATTGGAGTTTTACAGAATTGAGACAAAGGTCAAAAATCCTTACCTGTAACTATGCCATAATTTGGAGGTTCAATGACAGCTCCATAGAACTGAATGATGTTTTTGTGACTGAGCACACTGAGTATTTCTGCCTGTTGCAAACAAACAAGTAAATTAGTCAATTAAGAACGGTGCATTTACTATGATACTTTATTTTATACCCAAGCAGATATACACATATGTATAACCACACACACAGACGTATCTAGGAAAGACTATTCACAAATGCTTGGCATTTGAAAACCTCATGAGAGAGTTTGGCAGATGAATGCTTCGTATGTTTGGGAAAAAAAAAATTTAAAATTTCAGACTATTCTTTCATGGCCAAGGCACAGATGTAGAAGCTATGCCTTTGGAAAAACTGAAGGACTTGGAAAACTTTGTTCAAAGAAAGTTCTGGGATGTTTGGCAGAGTTGCAGCAGTCCTATCCAGAATTTGTGTTTATGCACAAAGTACTATGGGTTCAGAGAGTCCAGCGCTTCAGGCTGTTAAGAGCATACCATGCACACACAGCTCCATCCAATATTTACTGGAAACGTGGAGTTTCCAGACATGCGCTGTAGAGTCTGACTGAATAGTCACAGCAAGCATGCTTGAGACTGCCAAATAGCCAGCAGTGCAGCTGCAACTGCTCCTCAGAGCAGACTGCAGATGTTTGGAAATTCTGAATAAATACACAAAACCTTCAAATTCCACTTGAACAATGCTTCTACATTTGAGAAATGGACTGTAAAAGAACGAGAGCATATCCACAGACAGTAAGACACATAGGCCCTGTGTTTTTAGAGCGAAAAGAAGGTCAGGTATCTCCTTCAAGGTCTCTCAACAGGTTCCCCTCTGTAGTACATTAAATACTCAAAAGATTTTACATATATGTTTTTACACATATTTATGTATTATGCAAATACAGATATATACTATTATATATTTTTCTATACAGCAATGCATTACTTTAAGACACTGAGATTATGTTAACTCCATACCATTCAAGACCATCTAACAAGAACAAAATCACTATTAATTCCTCTAAACTTAATCAAAAGTATCTGAACTGACAGATCCCTTCTCAGATCTGTTGACCTGCTGTAGAAGTGTTGCTGTTTACCTGCAAGTCTTCCCACATTTGCTTAGATAGTTGCCAATTAAATTATTTTGTGGCCTTATAGATTCACTGAAGACAGGAAGGCTATAGCAGCTTTGATGCAGAAAACGATTGTACATCAGCTAGTGTTACTGTAGTAAATGTATAGACACAGCAATACAATATTTTTTTTGGCCTGTGTTTTATACTGGTACCATAATACGTGTGTCATTACAGATAAAGGCATCAGATGGCTCAATTTTTTGCTGTTGTTGCTGTTTAAAGCCTTTTCTGAGCAACTTCAACACAGTTTTGAATTAAGACCTTTAGCTAATGCACCAACATTTACACATAATGAACTAAAGCTTTGAACTTAGCTTGGATTGCACTAGTTCTTCATGCTGCTTAGCCTGCTTAGCAAGGGAAACAGTGTTACTGTGAAGTGAGTCATCTTTTTTCACCATACCACAAAAGCAGTTTTTAAATGTACACTGTTTTCAGCAAATCATACTGCAGACTGACTCACCCACAAGTTCATGTTTACATGTTTACAATGCATGTACCTTACAGGTCATTAGAATTAAATTGACTGGTCTCACATTTAACTTTCCTGTGGCATAATGTATTTAGGTCCTGGCTACAGAAGAAAGACTAGATGAATCTTTCTAGGGAATGATTAAATATGCCACATGATGAACATACACAAGTGCCATATCTCCCTATTCCACTGCAGCAACGTGCAGAACCCAGTGACTGTCCTCCATCTCACATAAGATGCTGCTGGATCCAGTAAAAGCCCACCCAGAGTCACTGGACAACAGGAGGGACTGCACTGCAGCCACACCACCAGCAAAATCCAGGCCTACCAATCACCCAGTGCTACCATGAAATGGACACAAGCAAGATAGAAGCACTGGGCCAAGAAGATGAGTCCTTCACTGCTGCAGGCATACTGACACACAGTGCTTTTATTATTTGGAGAGTCAAAAATTATTTTCTAAGATTATCTTATTTACAGAATATTACACACTAAGATCACATTCCAGGAGTATGAAGAAATGCTGTGTCGACCGTGGCTAATAACATCATCTTCACATTGCTGTTCATACTCTAAATTGAGATTTAACAGAACCAAAGCAGGCTTCCATCTAAGAATAAGGAAAGGCACCTAATTGCCCACAGATATCCAAAATAAGAACTGGGGAGAAAAAATTGCCAATTCTTTCTAAGGACCATTACTTCTGAAAGAAATTCTTTCTAAACACTTTTAATCACTCTGCTGTTGTTAGCACTAGTGATTCTAGACTATTCCTTTCATGTTTTGGTCTTTTCAGTTGCTACAGGTCATCTGTGAACTCTATTAGCCAATTTAAAGATGCTTATTCCTTACAGTGAGAACCAGATGCAAGTCAATCCACATCTCTGAAGCTTTTTTTGACAAGAAGGTGCCATATTTCAATGAAAGACTGACTTTCAGATAGCAAATTACAGAGTGGAGGTTAAAGTCTGGTATTTCAATGGTCTCTTAGGCACTTACAATAATATTTAGAATCACATTTAAGTATCAAACTCATACTTAAATCCAAAATGCCTAAATACTTGGAAGAAAATCCTTCCACGCATCTGTCTGCCTAAAGGCTACTGAAGAAGCGAGCCCTCACTGGCTTGGGCATGATACACTCACTTCCCTTGGTAAAGCTGTTATCTGTCTTAAGCATCTACTTCCTTCCTAAAGCCATGGTGATGACAACTAAGAATTCTTCAGTTATTTCATTATATTACTGTTTTGTGTGAAAGACAGATTATTTTTTTTAAAACGTTGGATCAAAGCAGAACTAGAAGGAGCTCAGTTGAAGGAAAGGTACAATACAAACAAGTAAATACAAACTCCTTGGACATAACAGAGACACAGACACACAAGACTACTACAGTTGAGCTGAATATTATGCTTAGTCCCATGATAAGCTTAGTCACAGCCTGGTAGTGATCATCAAACCACGCTAAAACCATTCAGCCTGTACTTACACCACAAGTATGGGTGAAATTATGTCCCTCTCTTGAGTCCTGATGAAGGGAATTACAGACTAGATGCTGTTTCTTGAAGTCAAAGAGATTCAGAAGTCTAAACAAACCTAATCCACTCTTTACATAATTCAACCACTACCATGAAATCCAAGGTCACAGCAAATTACTCTAAAAACATTTTAATTTAATTCTCACTTACTGGCTCCTGTGGCGTTACTGTAAATCAAACCCAATTCATAAGACAACTACAGTATAAGACTTAGGAACTCAGGTAATCCTGCAGTGCACAAACTAATTGTGTCCTATGAACCATGGTATGGATCACAGTGCTTAACAGCTAATTTATTTTTATGCCTGTTTAATCTCTGCTTATTGACATATGTGAAATTATCAGTCACCTATGACTGACATCACCCTACAGCTGCCTATAGACCTGCTAGCACTGCTCTTAACCTTCTAGTACAAACAACTATGCATGAATACCCATATTCTCAGTATTTTCAGCAGCTAAAAACACGGTCCTCCTCTAGGGCTTTGTCTGTGTTCAGCAATTACTGAACAGAAACCACCACATCGATTTCGAGTGTGGCCAGCAGCAGATGAGGGGACAAAGCAAGCTACCTGGACAGCGTGGTGCCATTACAAGCAGCACAAGCCTCAGCTCACCGGGATGACACAAGTCCTAGCTTGCTTTAGCTCTGTCCAGCACCAGTGCAGCAAGAGCAGCAATCACAGCTTAGCTCTGACAGATCTTCAAGGACAGCACCGACTGCAGATGTGGGCAATGGCCACCTGATGCTGAGCTGGCATTACTTGGGAACGCCAACAAGGCCACATCATCAGATCTTTAATTGCAGCCACAAAGACACTAAGGATGTGGACGGAGGCACTTTTCTTACAGCTGTGTTATTGCCTGCCAGCTACTCATACCAGCCGCAGCTGCTCTCGTTAGAGCTCCCTGTCCCAAGGCAGCTAAAGTTAGCAAAGACCAAACAACTCAGCATATTTTAGTCACTCTGGTCCTCCTTCGAAATATGTTAGAAAGTTGTTACACTGGCACTTGTAGTCAAAAGAAGTGACCAAGGGTTTGGGCTAGCAGCCTATTCCAGCAGCACAGATGGACATGCAAAAGAACATCTGTCCACAGAGTTTTTTCAGTATCCAAAGACTTTTTTGCTTGGGTCCAGGCAAACTGGGCCCACAGCAACTTAATCACCATTTCTTGCAGGTCCCTTTGGAGCCACTGGCTGGAAAGGACAAAGTACAGCCACCCTTCCACCTTGGTCCGAGCATGATGGTTTACGATTAACACAGGAAATAGCTGCAGCCCCTTGTCAGACCATCGGGTCAGCCAGCAGCCAACCAACTCGTCTGTTAATAAATCAGTTCACTGCACAGCAAGAGGCACCTTCACTCCATGCAAAATTACAGGGTTAGACATGGTTAGCTGCTTATGGAATCGGATTAATACAACTTCCTTAACTGCCTTCTAATATTTATATTACATTGTGCAATAGTTTGGTTATTTACTTTTCCAAAGAAATGTTTGCCATGTTCATTAAGGAGATATTTATACACACGTAAGGCAGCTTAGAAAAGATATTTTTTCTTAAGTCTTGTAGCATTTTAAACACTTTGACCTCTGTTATGTTCCTGGGAGAGTTGCAACTTAGCTACTCTCAGGGGGTTTTACAGTCTAATAAAAGAGGAGCTGAAAGAGGCCAGCTGATGTTTTATTAAAATCATTCTATTTACTGACAACCACATACAAAAAGATATAAAAAGCTAACACAAATCAATCCCAAACCTTTATTTCCAGATTCCTGCTCAAAAATACATTCAGTCTGTGTCCATGTCTCAAGAACGCTCTCCTGTGAATTCACTGACGTCTCATAAGGGATGATGTCTCTTATAATACACTAGTTTCTCTAGGTAAATGAGCCCAAACCATCATTTTACAGACATAACATGAAGACAATCAGCAT